CTCTAATAAGACTGCTTTGTTTCCCTCTCCTCTCCCTGTGCTGGCCTTCCTTCTGCCCCAGGTCACTCTTGCTAACAAACTCCGATGCCAGTTCACTTTCGGCTGGTGTCAGGGTAACTTCTGGACACCGGGCAGGACAAGCAGGCCCTTCCCTACATCTTTTGTACCACAGGACTTCCCTCCTCCAGCAAGTCTTGGGATTCAGGTTTGCCAGCACAGGGGCAGGCCGCTGGTCACGTCATGGGCCGCTGGTCACCTCGCAGGCCGCTGGTCACCTCGTGGGTCGCTGGTCACCTTGTGGGCCACTGGTCATGTCGCGGGCTGCTGGTCACATCACGGGCCGCTGGTCATCTTGTGGGCCATTGGTCATGTCGTGGGCCGCTGGTCACATCAGGGGGAGGGGCGGCTCAGGGGGAGGAGGCTCAGGGGGAGGGGGAGCTCAGCCCAGGGATGGGGGGCTCAGGGGGAAGGGGAACTCAGTCTGGAGATGGGGGCTCAGGGGGAGGGGGAGCTCAGCCCAGGGATGGAGGCTCAGGGGGAGGGGGAGCTCAGCCCAGGGATGGGGGCTCAGGGGGAGGGGGAGCTCAGCCCAGGGATGGGGGCTCAGGGGAGGGGAGCTCCTCATAGTGTACCCTCTTCCCTCTTGCTCTGACATCTGTTCCCTCTTGGCTGCCAGTCTGGGCAATCTGCCGGGAGGCCTGTGGTAGTGAGCAGTGTTCCTAGGGGCTGGGGCTGGACAGCATCAAGTCTGTGCTCCCTAGGCCGGTGGGCAGGAAGACAAATTCTCTGCCCTCTTCGGGTCTTCAGCTGTATCTAAGACCCAAAATGCCTTAAACAGGAGAAAAGCATACAAGTTTTTTGTTTTTTGTGTGTTTTTTTGTGAACAAGTTTTATTACAGTTTTTGCAGGTGCACAGGAGCCTTCTAAAGAGAATGAAGACCCAGAGAGGAAACCAGAACAGGAAAAATCAATAGCAAACACTCTTATGACAAAAAAAAAAACAAAAAAACAAAAAAAAACAAAAAAAACAGTGAAGGACCCACGAGATAGAGGAGCTGGGGCTACGGAGGGGACATGCTGGAAGTAACTGCAAGGTGAGGCTTGTTTGTACCAATTTTGCTAGGCCTCATTCATCTCTGGTGATTAGAATGTCTTCCTCCTGGGCCACCTGGGTGGCTCAGTGGTTGAGTGTCTGCCTCTGGCTCAGGTCGTGACCCCGGGTTCTTGGGATTGAGTCCCACATGGGACTCCCCTCTGGGAGCCTACTTCTCCCTCTGTCTGTGTCTCTGCCTCTCTTGTCTCTCATGAATAAATAAAATCTTAAAAAAAAAAAAAGCAGGGGATCCCTGGGTGGCTCAGCGGTTTGGCACCTGCCTTTGGCCCAGGGTGCGATCCTGGAGTCCCGGGATCGAGTCCCGCGTCGGGCTCCTGGCATGGAGCCTGCTTCTCCCTCCTCCTGTGTCTATGCCTCTCTATCATAAATAAATAAATAAATCTTTAAAAAAAAAAGTATGTCTTCCTCCTGCTACCAAGAGGGCACCTTTCATGTGGGGGTTTAATCTCCCATTTTGGAGAATAAAACGAGGGTCACAATGGGCTTCTTGCATCTGCTGGCTCTCAGACGCTGCCACCTTGTAGTGGTGGACATGTCTAGCCTGCACACTTAGGAGTGACACGCCCTGGAATTCTAGGAGGCCTGAGGGCATCTGTGGTTCCTTTCAGGGCTCCCCGTTCCTGTGTAGGCTGCAGAGGCTCACCATACATTTACCCTGAAAACAGCCCTGCTGCCCTGGCCCTGGCTGACCAGATGAGAAGCCAAGGCCACTACATGGCCAGGTCCCCCAGGAACCCCCAGCGTGCCCCTCAGCTGGCTTTGATCCAGCTCTATGGGGGTCCAACTGTGCAGCTAAAATGGGTCCCTTCGTGAGCTGAGAGGGCTTTAAAGGTATGTAGGCACCCGCCTGCCCAGCAGGGGTGAATATGAGCCTGGACCACATGCTGTGGGCAGCATGGCTCCAGTCCTGTCTCCAGGGAAGCTCTTCCTCTAGAGCGCAAGTGCACGAGGGAGAGTCTGGACTTCAGACAGCTTTGCCACCCCGACTACCACTGGAGCTGCATGCATAACATCAGCGCTCCCTTCTGATAATCTTTTCTATTCCCATCATTTAAAAAAAAATATTTTACTTATTGGGTGGCCCAGGTGGCTCAGCAGTTTAGCACTGCCTTCGGCCAAGGGCGTGGTCCTGGAGACCCGGGATCGAGTTCCACGTCAGACTCCCTGGGTGGAGCCTGCTTCTCCCTCTGCCTGTGCTTCTTCCTCTCTCTCTCTGTGTGTGTCTCTCATGAATAAATAAATAAAATCTTTTTAAAAATATTATTTATTTATTTATTTATTTGAGAGAAAGAGCATGAGCAGGGTGGAGGGACAGAGGGAGAGGGAGAAGCAGACTCCCCACTGAGCAGGGAGCCCAATGTGGGGCTCGATCCCAGGACCCTGAGATCATGACCAGGGCTGAAGGCAGACACTTCACTGATGGAGCCACCTGGGCGCCCCATCCCCATCATTTTAGACTTGTAGCACAGTACAAAGCATTCCTGGATACCTTCACCCCGACCCCTTCACTTTACCCTTCATATAAACCTCCGAATCCTGCAAAGGTGAGGTGAAGATGTGCTGTCTTTCTACCCCCTAAGTACTGGTGTGTAGTACCCCCAAACCAAGAATTCTCTTGCATAACCACAGCACAAGGATCAAAATCAGGAAATGATAAGATACAATAGTATTCCCCACTCTGTAGAACTCACTCAGGTTTCAGCGTGTCAGATTTCTGCTCCCAGCAGGATGCAGGATGCCTTTAACCCACGACCATCTCTTCTTTTTGTCGTAAACGATAACAATACAGGAGTCATCATGGTTTTTACTTGTTAAGCATCTACCAAGACTAGAGTTTGGAATATAGTGTCTTACCATTCCCAGCATCACATCGATGGAAAGGGTTATATCTCCAGCTTTACAGATGAAAAAAAAAAGAGAGAGACAGAGAGGTTAGTGCTTTGTTCACCTTTATGCTTTGGGGGCTTCTGGCCATGCTGGGACTGAATCCAAGTCAAGTGGTGGAATGGAAGCTGGATGCTGAGATTGGGGAGTTTGCACCCACATAGCTGGAGTGGTGGAGGCAGGGCTGGGCCAGAGAGGAGGGCAGAGAGCTGGGCGGTGGGAGGTGGAGGGCAGCTGGGCGGTGAGAGGGGAGCTGGGCGGTGCCAGGTGTGGTGTTGACATGTGTCTCGTCATTCTACCAATTTCCTTGATCTGAATCCGTTTCTGTGTCTGTAAGGTGATGATGAAACCTCTTTCTTCTGTGAGGCGCTGAATGAATACCAAGCATGTGGAAAGTGCTTGGTATACGACCAGCTGTAAGACATCCACTAATATGTGACTTGTGAATAGACTTAAATCAATTCCAAGCAAGAACTGTCCTCCTGGTCCCTTTGAAGAACTTTCAGTGGCAAAGGAAAAGGGGCTCCAGGGATTTCCATCAGCAGTGGGCTCACCCGCCCCCTATAGGACAACGGTGTTAGCACAGCATCACAGGCTCCCGCCTGGCCCGCTGCTATGGCCCTGTCATGGGTCACAGGTCTGGCCTTGGCCGGTGTCTGTTCTTGATGTTTCACACCCAAACAGGAGCATGTGGGAGAGCCCTCTTCACACTCTGCACTTGAAAATACCCAGGGAAGGGGGCTGGTGAGGGAGGTGGTGAGTGAGGGGGCAGGTGCCAGGACCCCTCCTTTAGACATACAAACATTTTTCTGTAAACCACTGCTCCCCAGGGCACCTTTGCAAACGTCTGCAGACACTCTTGGTTGCCAGATGGCATGGGGTGCTACTTGGGTATGAGGCCCGAGATGCTGCCTACAGTGCCTGGGACGGCTCCCAACTGTTGGGACAAGCCCGCAGTATCCAACCAAACTATTAATAGTGCTAAAGCTGAGAAACCCTGATTAGGTGTAGACTGATGCTGTTGGCTCTTCCCATCGTCTCAGCTCTGGCTGATTCTAGCACAGCGAACGTGTCAGCTTAGCGCCAACTGCCAAAGACCAAGGTCCTTTTATGTGTCCCGTGAGGGGCAGATTACATCCTACCATTTAATAAGCAAGAAACAGGCAAGATGCAGGTCTTATGCTACTGTGCCTCCTTCATCCCCACCCATCGGCAAAGCATTATTTCAACATCTCAAGGCAAAGGAGGCCTTCTGAGTCCCCATCCACCAGCCAAGCTGCTCCCCAAGTGAGGGGCGGATGTTCTGCCCTTGGAGGCGATGCGTCTCTGCTACCGTTGAGGTCAGCACTTTGCCTAGACAGCTGGTGGGCAGGCCCAGGGAGCCCCGACCCCCGCAGGCTCGCAGGCTCGTGCTGAGGGGTCCTGTGCAGACAGGGGCTGCTCCTGCAGGAGGATGAGCTGGCGAGGACTAGAATACAGCTTCACAGGCTGCAGGAGCCTCCAGAAGAAGAATTTCCTGCGCTTTGCGTTAAAGGAGATTTGATTTACAAAACACAGGAAGGCAGTCACTCCCCCCACTCAATCAAAGCTCCTTTCTGAGCGTGTGGGTGCTGCTCCGGGTGTGTTCCCAGAAGCTGCCCGGGAGGGCTCAGGACAGTCTGGGAGGGAGGGAGAGCTTGAAAACGGGAGGACTCAGGACACCCCAAGTGGGAGGGGGGAGTCCCCAGAGGGCTCAGGACGCGGGGGACACGTGGGAGGGGATGAGATACAGCAGGACGGAGGGGGAGGTCCTGCAGTGGACGGGACACCCCAGGAGGGAGGAGGGAAGGGGGAGGCTTGGGAGGACCCGGGATGCAGCAGGAGGGAGAGGACGGGGCCTTGGACAGGCCAGAGGGGCGGGGCCGGCTTATGCGCATGCGCTGCGCTGTCTCTGCCCGCGCCCGCGCCCCCGCCCCCACCGCCTGCGTGTTTCCGGCCGGTCCTCTCTGCATCCGGGGCACGAAAACCCTCCGTGGGGCTCGGGCGGCGGCCCCTGGCCGGAACCGGAAGTGGACCCCGAGCCAGTAGGGGAAGCCGGCGTCCGACCCGTCCGCAGCCTGCGGTGGTCCCCGGGGGCGGCGGCCTCGCTGCTGCCTGCGAGCCGGGCCCGCGGCCCGAGGGCGCGGCGCCATGAAACTGTACAGCCTCAGCGTCCTGTACAAAGGCGAACCCAAGGCGGTGCTGCTCAAAGCCGCGTACGACGTGTCCTCCTTCAGCTTCTTCCAGAGGTCCAGGTGAGCGGGCCGGGGGCGAGGCCGCGACTGGGGCGGAGGGCGGGGCCTGGGGCCGGTCAAGGGGCCTGGGGGCGGGGCCTGGGGGCGGGGCCTGGGAGTCTGGGGGCTTGGGGCGGGGCCTGGGGGGGTCAGGGGCCCTAGGGGGCGGGGCCTGGGGCGGGGGCTCGAGGGCGCTGGGCGCTGCGGAGGGGCCCCGGGGGCCGGGGGCGCCGAGGGCCGGAGGAGGGCGGGGGTGGGGTTCCTGCTCGGTGTGTAGACGCACCTGCGGGGACGCCTGCGCTCACGGGGGAAAGGTTCCCGCCGCGGGGGAACACGTTTTGTCAGTTGCCGTCGTGGTGACGTTTCAAGGGGACTTTGAGGAGCGGCCGGTTCCGTCCCGCCGCGGTGAGCCGTAGGCGGCCTTCTGCAGCGACGGTAGCTCCGCAGCCTCGTGCGGCCGCCCTGGAGGCAGCGCCTGTCGCCCTGGGGGACCGGCATCAGCTGTGATGCAGTCACCGAGGCCGCAGGAATGACGCGCACCGGCCAGCGCTCGAACCCAAATGCCATGCTTTCTCCTGGTTGAGGTCTGATGGCGCCGGAGGGTGTGCGCGGAAGGTCTGGAGAGAAGCTGGGGTGTGTAGGGCTTCCTGGCCACTGTGACTGCAAGAAGGAGAGAGTCCGGAGCCGTGGAAGGGCCAGGAGCAGAAGGCCCGTGTAGTGCGAGCCGGGCCCCAGCCCCGGCCCCCGGGCCGCCGCCGTCTGGCCCCACGTCCACTGCTGCTGGTCGCTCGGGAGCCTTGTGCAGGCGGGACCTAGAACAGTTCCGTGGCGGCCGCGTGGAAACGTTCTGCTGCTTTTGGATCATTCGGGGTGCGACGTCTTGATGCTTTGGTTCCTAGCATAGCCTCTGCCCTGTGTCCCGCTCACTGCTCTTCTGTGGTGGGACGGCTGCTGCCCACCTGGCCGTGTGCACCCAGGGTGCTCAGAGGTTCCAGGGTGGGACTTCTGCGTCTCTGGCATAGGGTACCCTGTGTGTTTGAGGATTCACACAACACGGTGCGCTGGAGGTGTCCCCAGCGCACCTCGTAGAGCCGCAGGTGGTGGCCCCGCGACCTCTGGCCTCCTGCTACCCCTCTGCCCACCTCGAGCTACAAAACCTTCACATGGGTTCCCTGCTTTTCTCGCGCTGACTCTCACGATGAATGTAAGTCCTCCCGTGTCTACGTGGAGTCGTGCTGTGTCTCTGCCTGGTTTTATTGCAAAGACTTCCTTGTTTGGAGCCTTGTTCCCTATGGGATGATTGTGATCACACTACACCCTCAGTACTGAGCACCAGGTATGGAGCGGACTGTGGTACGCACAGACCGTACGCGGCTGTGGGGGAGGCACGGGGCTGTCAGTACCGGGATTGGAGGTCATGGGTCCGTGGCCAGAGGTCCCCCCTCTTCTGTGTGGCCCCTCGTACACTGGTCAGAGGGACCCTCAGAGAGTCATGTTAGCCCCTGTTCCTTGGGCTCCACTGCCATCACCTGTGACTATCCCGTTCTAGCCTCATCTCTCTGTTGCACCCATGAGTGCCCTCTTCCCTGTTGGCGTTTGTACAAGTCACTTCCTTCTTGGCCAAGTGTCTCCCTTCCAGACGCCCTGGATGAGACAGCACGCCCCAGGCCATGCATGTTCTGTGCCGTAGCTGCGTTCTCGGTGGACATGGGTCACGTGGCAGCGTGTGGCTGCACAGGCCAACTCTGCTTCTCCTGCTTCCCAAATCCTGCTCTGCCCTCAGTGTTCTCTTGAGTCAAGTCTGTAGGAAGTCCCCGCGGGTCTGGAAGTGTGTTGCCCTGGTGAACGAGGTAGTGAGCAGGTGTAGTTTGAATGGCCGTGAGGATCTGTAACAAAACAGTGTCTGTCATTTGTCACTAAGGTTGAGAGGGAAAGGAATGAGCCCAAGAAGCAGTGGCCCCTTGGTGTCTATGCTCAGAGGTCACCTTCCATTGTGCTGGGGACAGGGTGACAGGAATAGGTAATATGTGTTATGTTCTTAGTGTTCAGGAGTTCATGACCTTCACGAGTCAGCTGATTGTGGAGCGCTCAGCGAAAGGCAGCAGAGCTTCTGTCAAAGAACAAGGTAAGAGGACCTGCCGCCTCGTGCACATGCAGCCCCCCGTCTGCCCGGGCACCTGTGGCTCTCCACGTACACACTGCCCCGCCCACGACTGCCAGGACCCCACTCTGCTGGCTTGTTGCCTCCGCGTTCTCTCTGTTCTGGTCACACATGCTTCTTTGCCTGGCGCTGACGTTTCAGCAGCCTGATTAAGCTTCTACCCCAAAGCTTAGACTCGCTTCAGATTGGGGCCTGGCTCTTGTGCAGCAGGGAGTGGCCTTCCTGAATTTGCTTTCCCTCCAGGGTTGTACGCATCACAAACGAGGATTCCCAGCCAGCCCTGCTGAGTAACACTGCATCCTGGGCTCCGCAGGTTTTTCACCAGGAATCAAAAAACTCTGTTTTCTTCTTGACCAGTATGTTCACGTTTTCATGATTCAGGTTTCCCGTGTGAAGCCTGTGTGACACGGACAGGTCAAGAAGGACAGCTGTGGCTCACAGACAGCTCATGGCAAGCTCCCTGGTATAGCCCGCATGGGCCCTGGAGGCAGTGTGTCTATGCAGATGCCCGTCAGGCCCCGGTTGGGGTCCCCTACACAGCTTCCCTGTCCTGCCCACACCCCAGAGGTGACATTGGACTGTGAATGCTGGCGGATCTGGCCGTGTCTGCGGCTCTGAGCCAGCTTCTCTGATTGTGGGGAGTGTGTGTGCTTGGGCTGCACGCTTGAGCCTTGCTTGCTTGGGATCGTAGACAGAGTCCAGAGTGCGGCGGTGGCCCTGCTTTTGTCCATCGCTGCCCTAGTCTGACATGAGCTCGCAGTCTCTCCATCTCCCCGTTTCTCCAGGTTTAGCATCAGGCTCTTCTGCGTGAGCGTTGTCCGAACAAGAAGGTTCTTATTTGTTAGGTGTAATCCTTAGGTTCTTTTTTCTGTGGGGGAACGATTAGCTGTATCCTGTCTGGATTATTTTGAAAGGGACAAAAATTCATAGCAGGAATGGTGACTGTTTTGCAGAAGCACTCATACACTCTGTGCTTTTAGATAACTCGGTGGCTTTCACGCACCAGTGCTGGAGAACATTTGTTTGCAGATGGACCTTCTCTCCTCTCTTTTTCCTTGTCCTCTCCCTCCCTCACCTCCCCAGCCCACCACAGCAGGGGAGAGGCCAGGATTGCTGTAAGAAGGAAACCTGATGTCCCAATTTCCTGATGCGAGGCCAGGCCACTCTCATTTTGTACTCGTCTGGGGTCTCCTTGGCTCGAGAACAGGCCAGAGCATCAGAGGTGCAACCCCCTAGACACAGCTGAGTCTTGCTGGGGCTCCAGGATCTAACTGGGAAATGCGCCTGGAATCGCATCCCCTGGGAGGTTTCCTGCACCCCTGAGGCTCCTTTACACCTTGGCTTTGCACACGGGGTCTCTGGGCATTGACTTGTCTGAAGCAGTTGTTGGGCCGTGCTGGTGGCAGCACTCCCTCCCATGCTGTCCTGTGTGAGTCTCGCTGACCCACAGGGCAAGAGCTCAGCATTGTGACACTTTGATGATCAGGGTGAAATGGCCAAAACTCTCACTTCCCCTTCCGCGTGTCTATCCTCTCCTTAGAATACCTGTGCCACGTCTACGTGCGAAACGACAGTCTGGCAGGAGTGGTCATTGCTGACAGCGAATATCCATCCCGGGTGGCCTTTACCTTGCTGGAGAAGGTGAGTTTGCGCTGTGGCCAATCGGGCCTTGGATGGACAGGTGTGGGCATTGCGCGAGGTATAAGGGAGGGAGTAGTGTATTAGTGTGTCAAAAATCAACCTATTTTCAGTTTTTTTTTCTTGCCCTAAACCAAGAGACAGTCTGGGATCCCTTCCCCATTTCCTTCACTGGCTCTGATTTCTGCCCCTCATCCTGCTTGTGTCTGGGACAGGCCCTCGGGTCAGCTATGGCTGCACTTTCAGCCCTGGCCGCTGCTCTGGCCACTGTTCTGCTTCTGCCCTCCGAGCCACAGCCAACGCTGTGCTCTGTCTTGTGGCGACCACCCTCCATCAGGTCATCCCTGCACACCCCGGGTGTTCCTGTCCCCCACATGGGGCCGGCACCAGCACGGGGCTTAGTGCCTCCATGCTCTTCAGTTCTTTGAGGGGTGCTTGTCATAAAGCCCTCGAGGATGCTGGACCCTGCTGCCCCCAAGCACTGACACCCATAAGCACATGAAATCTGCTGGTTGCTTAAATCCAAAGAATCTCGCTCCATTTTTGAAGAATTGTTCTGGGAAATGAGAGGGCTAATACTTTCTTTTCTAGAATCATGTGACCTAATAAAAGCGGAAATATGTAGCTTAAAATTTTGATACTTTTATTTTCCAGACAAGGTTCATTTCAGCTTAGATATACTTGGTGCTTAATTTCCAGAGATTTTATTTTTTATTTTTATTTTTTTAAATATTTTATTTATTCATGAGAGAGAGAGAGAGAGAGAGTCGCAGAGAACATAGGCTGAAGGAGAAGCAGGCTCCCCACAAGGAGCCCAATGTGGGACTCAGTCCTGGATCCCAGGATCAGGACCTGAGCCAAAGGCAGATGCTCAACTGCTGAGCCATCCAGGCGTCCCAATTTCCATAGATTTTAAATACTTGAACTTACATTTGCCCCTGGCCATGAGCTATCCTCCTCTTCCCTCCACCTGTGGCCCTGACTGCCTCTCTTGAGCAAGGCGTTCTTCAGGTCTCGCGGATACTGATGTGTCCCTTTGTCCTGCAGGTTCTAGACGAATTCTCCAAGCAGGTGGACAGGATAGAGTGGCCTGTCGGGTCCCCTGCCAGCATCCACTACACCGCCCTAGATGGCCACCTGAGTCGATACCAGGTAGGGTGTACAGAAGCCTCCAGGAGAGGCTGTGTGGTACAGCAAAGCCAGCAGCCCTGGAGGTCATGGCTGTGGGGGAACTTCCTGGCAGCCTTAGTGTTGGTGTCGCTGTGAAACATGCAGGGATGCACGTAAGACCTGGAACCGGAAAAAAAAAAAAAAAAAAAAAGACCTGGAACCGAGTTCCATGATGGGCTTTCCCTTCTCTGCCATGTGTTTGAGCAGCCTGTGGTCTGTGAACGTGGCCCACATGTCCGGTTTGTTTGGTTTGAGCTTTGTCTCCAGGTGGTCACTCTCCTCCTGATGTTACTTTTGGCTCTTTCCTAGAACCCCCGAGAAGCTGACCCCATGACTAAAGTGCAGGCTGAGCTGGACGAGACCAAAATCATTCTGGTGAGCAGGAGCAGGGGCGAGCACATCCCAGAGCCAGGAGTGGGGGTGGAAATCTCAGCCAGCCACTGGGCACACAGTCTGGGCTTGGGGGAGCCCTCCTGCCAGCGCTAGGCTGAGAGGGGTGGGTGCCCACCTCTCCCTGAGTGTCTGAGGCCTCAGAGCCAGACCACCCAGACGCCTCCAGGTCTGTGCTGCTTGCACCCATCTGAGTTCAACACCTGTTGCCCAAGGGCCTCAGCCGAGACCTTGTTGTGGCCCCTGATCTCTCCCTGTTCTGGGCGGTTACCAGTCGTGATCGTCTCTGATCCGTGGCTCTGCTTCCCTGCCATTCCTGCTGCCTCCCTCGCAGGGTGTGGGCTGTGGGGGCGGGAGAAGCCGCCCCTACTCACTAAACACAGACCTAGGGTCCTCAGGCCTGAGGAGAGTGGGAGCCCCGTGTCATACCTGAGCACTCTGCTGGTCTGTAGCTGCTGCTTTAGCTTCCGTTCCTCCCCTCCCCCACCTCTCTCCCTCCCCCCCACCCCCCTTTCACTTGGAACTCTCTTTTCACATTTGCCCAGTGTGTCTGCACCGTAGCCACCCATCTGTGGCTCTTTTGCTTACAATCCGTCAGTAGCCCTCAGGAAAGCTGTGGGGTCCAGTGCACACTCCCTGGCACAGCCTCAGGGTCTCGTGGCCTCTGCCTTTCCTGCCTGGCTCCCGTGCAAGTGCCCCAGGAACAGGCCTCCTGGACGCCCCTGCATGGTCTTAGCCAGCACCCATGACTCCCTGACTGCCGGGCACATGAGCCCTCAGGACCAAGAGCTTGTCCCTACCCACCCTGTTCCTGGTGTGATGGTGGATGTGGGACGCCAGTGCCCAGCAGCTAATGAACCTTAAGTGGGTAGATAGCTCCACAAAGGTGCCCGGAAAAACCCTGCTCAACGTGAAACTCCTGCTGACTCAGGCTCGGTCCTCATGTTCAGCACTGTGTCCCAGGGTCGGACGCCAGCCTGGGTGGCACCAGGAAGCACATTACACAGAAACTGGTGGGGGGGCTGCAGGCATCGAGCTCTAATGATGTAGTTTTGGGGCTTAGGACTGTGAATGAGCTGTGAGAGTCTTTGGGTGTCTCCAGGTCTTTGCATGGGCTTCTCTGCGTGTTCTCGAGGAGCCGTGGCTATGGGAACCCCTGGGCTGTGCAGAGCTGCGGGATGTCCGCTGTGTCATTCCTCTCTGACTGCGCATGGTGGGGTTATCGTCCTCCCTGGCCCAGTGTGCCTGCAGAAATGGGATTACTGGTTGTGCTGCCTTTCTTCCCAGCCACGTCTTACCCTCGGTTGCTTGTGCTGGGAACCTGAGTTGTTGAGCTCTGTTCAACTTATTTCCTCGTTCTGGGTCAAGTCATGTTTGTGTACCTAGATACCTGCTCCAGTGAGGCCTCTGAGGGCCTTGTGGCTGCTCCAGCAATGGCCATCCATGCTGGAAGCGAGCCGGCCACTTCCCGATGGCATCAGGACTTAGGGCTGCTGGGAGTGCCTCATCCCTTCACCCCAAGGATGGGCCTGTGGGTGCGGGCGCTCCCTGAATGCCGACCTTGGAACACAGGCCCCTGCAGGGTGTGGGACACAGTAGGTGTACATGTGTGTAAATGTGGGTGTAAGCGACCTCTCCTATAGCGTTGTGTGAATCTGATGGCAGTTCCCCAGGACGGTCACAGGGTCCTGTTCCACTTGGGACGCCCCCGAAGTTTGCATGGGGGAGGAGCCCAAAGGAGAAGCGCTTTCCCACGAGCTGCAGGAGGGCTCGTGGCCACTTGCTTCACGACCAACAGAGTGTTCTTTCTTTATGCCTTTGTCCAGCACAACACCATGGAGTCTTTGCTGGAGCGAGGGGAGAAGCTAGATGACCTGGTGTCCAAATCCGAAGTGCTGGGAACACAGTCTAAAGCCTTCTATAAGACAGTGAGTGCTGGCTGTCCACGGGAGCTATGCCTTGGGGGAGCTGTCAGGACGTTCAGTGACGTGTGGGGAGAGCAGAGGGGGGGGTGGCCCAGGTCCAGCAGTAGTGGAGGGTCCCTCGGGTGCTGTGGAAGCTGCGGTGGGCAGAGTTCATTCCGCCCTGCTCTGGGCTGCTCTCCTATGCCCAGGGTTTCGCCCCATTCTTGCTGCCTGCTCAGGAGGCCTCCAGTCTTCCCAGAGAGGCCCTTCCGCCTCTTGTTTCCCTCTGACAGAGTGGTTGGCTGGAGTGGGCAGTGGCAGGGCTGTTCACACGCCTTGGCATTCCTGTGAGCCTGGGAGGGCAATGGCCAGTGGGATTAGGGGGCATCTGTGAACCCAGAGTGAGAGAGGGAAGACATCCTCAGTATGACCTCCAGGCATGGGGTTGGGTCGCCCTGGGGAACAGGCTGGTGCCGCGTTAGACTCCCAGCCGTTAGACTCCTGGCCGCCTGGGCTGCTCCCAGCATTCCCAGCCCAGGCCGCAGCCCCTGCCTCCTCCCCCTACCCCGCCATGGGTGCCGCAGTGGTCTTGCCAGCCGCCTCCACCTCTCCAGCTCCAGATTGTCTCTGTCTAGGCCCGGAAACAGAACTCGTGCTGTGCCATCATGTGACAGCAGCCCGCGGAGGCCCCTGTGTCCGATGCCCTGGCCGTTTGCAGCAGAGCCGGCGTGGGAAGACCCTCGTGGGGACAGATCTTGCTTTCACTGTGGGGCTCCTGGCAGGACCTGAGGGCCGGGGGCGGGCTGGGGGAAAACATTCACATTCACATGTCTGCCGATCTCTGGAAAGGTTGTTCGAGGGTCCCAAAGCTGTATTCTCGGGCCAGATGAAACCATAAACTCTGAGTGACTCACACCAATGCTGAAGGGCTCATTTCTGACCCCTGGGAAGACCCGTGGGCCCCGGAGCTGTGTGAGGTCCCCCAGGGAGGTCGGAGCCAGCCTCGGGCCTCCGTCCACCTTGCACTTGTGTTCGTGCACTGACTATTAACCCTGCATTAAGCCCGGCTGAACCCTGATGGCAGGGCCGGGGGAGACAGGCTGCACAGATGCTGATGCTCCCCCGGCCCCTGCTAAGGGCACCCACCTGCAGGCTGCACGGAGATGCCTGAGGGTGTGGAGTGGGGGGTGTCAGCCCAGACGTGCAGCTCGGCTCTGACCTCCGGGTCACAATACTGTGTACATCTCTCTCGACCTATGTTCACTCATCTCTGGCAACAGGATTGTCTTAGCGGCCGCCCGGGGCCTGCGTGCCTTAGCAAGACCAGATGCCAGCCATCCCGAGGACTCCCAGTGCCCCACACCCGGTCTGGCCCCCACAGGAGCACTGCTGAGAGCCCCCCCAGCAGCGCCAGTCCCAGCCCCGGCCCCGAGACCTGCCCACTCCCTCAGACTGCACTGCCACGTTTCTGCAGTGCGTCCTGAGGACGTGAGCTCATGACAGGCCCTTGGGACCTGGTCCCCACAGAAGCCCCTGCTGGGGTGCTAGCATATGGTCCCATCCTGGGAGGTCCTTCCGTGAGCATGCTGGTTCTTGGCCTACCCAGGAGGTCCTGCTGCCCTCAGAGAGGGCCAGGCCCTGAATACCTTGCTTGGACCAGAAAGTGGGACCTTCGTGGCTTCTGACGACCCCCACACTACAGGTTTACCTGCTGGCTGGCCTTTCACCCTGGGCACTGTGCTGGCCCCTAAAACAGCCTGCCCAAGGGACCCCCCGGAATGCACAGACCCAGCCTGCTCCCCCGTGCTGGGGGGCTGTGACGACTCCAACTTGGGAGGTCTCTGCGGAGCAGCTGGGGGTGGAGGTGCAGACCTGTGGGGCTGGCTCAGGCCCCAGCCAGCGTTTCCCCAGTTGATGGTGTCTCATTTGGAAGCACTGGGCAAAGAGTGTATTTTAATAACTGCCACCTAACTGTTCTGTTCGAAAAGTTCTTATCTGGATAAAGTTGTCTTTTGAGATTCCAAAATTGTCCTTTGTTTTGTTTGAGCCTCAGGGACCCCTTTACCACGGGAAGCCTGCGCCTCCCTGAGTGCGCCTGTGGGGTGCAGGGCCTCCTGGGGCAGTGCCCGTCCAGGGGAGGCAGCCCCTGAACAGATGTAGGGGAACCGGCCCGGGGAGCTGCCCCACAGCCCAGGCCGCACGAATGGAAACCCTTTGGGACATGGGGGCCGTGCAGACTGGAGAGTCTCCCATCTGCTCCCACTTTAGAGAATGACCCTGGGGGCTGATGATCAGAGGGTCTGGAGACCTTTCTGCCTGTTTCACTGCTGCCTCTGGGCCCTGCTTTCAGCCTCGTTGGTGTGCCTGGATGTGAGGCAGCCTGGGATCTCTGGCGGGAGGACCTGCTGGGGTATGGGGTCTCCTGAGGCCCAGGGAGCTTTGCTCCCCGCAGGTGCCAGCAAAGTGACCAAAGGCTATCTTGCTGACCTGGCTGGGCTCCCCACCCTCCCTGCGCTCCGGTCCCACAGCACACCTCAGGGCTCGGGATCCTGGGGGCGGGGCTGCAGGGAGCGCCCACAGGGAGGTCTGGCCTGGAAAGCCGCCTCGGGTTACAGCTGATAGGAGAGTGGAGCCCTAGATACTGTGCACGCTCAACTGCCGTGTCCTAGATCTTCACCCCATGCTTGGGTCCCCTGTGTGCTCCTTGGCACAGCCCGCCCTCCTGAGCACCTGCCAGGACCAAGAAGCTGGTTCAGGGCCTCCTGTCCTAGTGACCCCTGGGCCACCCCTTACCAGGAATCAACTGGACATGAGTGTCGTACCTAGGATGGTTCTGAAGCCCACATCTTTGTCCCAGGAAAGCACGTGAGGTACAGACCAGCATTGGCAGGGCCTGGGGACCCAGCGAGAAGGGCAGGCTGCCTGGTCCATGGCCTTGGGAAGGGCCAGCAGCGCACAGGCCAGCTACCACAGCCCTCGCCTGGCTGGGCCTAGTGTGGGCAACTGCCTGGTCAGACAGCTTCAGGTCAGGCCATGTGGTCACGAGGCCGTGCAGTCCTTCAGCCATGTACTCGGTGCTGATGTAGCTGGCACAGGCCAAGGGCGGCCAGCATTCCTGAGGGAGGCCCCAGGTGGCTTAGTGTCCCCATGCTGCAGGGGTACAGTGGGCAACAGGTGATGTGTCCCTCCTGACAGGCCTTGGGCATGGATGATGGGGTGGGCGAGGGTGGGGCAGTGTCCGGGGAGAGGAAGGAAGGCCCTCGCTCCCCTCTGTCCCTGGTGTCCATCTGTTCCCAGATCTGGGCTCCAGGTGCCCTCCAGGTGGTTGGATCCTCCTTGGGGAACCCCTCCCAGCCCCCGCTGTCTTAGCCCCGCCATCTCTGCCTCCTAGAGGCCACTACTGTCCTCGCGGGACATCGCTGTCCACGCTGGCCTGGGTGCCGTCCACCCAACCCAGCCCATGGCCACAGGGTGAGTGACACGCGTGAGGGATAGATAAGTGGAGAGACAGTCAGGGTTGGGTCCTGTGCTCTTCCCACACAGAACTGCCCTCTGGCCTCATCCAGGGAGGCTGCCGAAGAGGTGGGGGTTCAGGGCTCAATGGGAGCTCTGGTTCCAGCATCCACAGCCGACAGAGGTGGGGTGGGGCAGTGGGTGGTGCTGTGGCTGCCGTGGCAGGGGGCCCAGGTGGTGCGGGAGCGGCCGGGCAGGGGGCTGGAGCTCGGCAGGGCCCTGGCATCAAGCCCCCAGCTGCACGTGAAGCCATTTGTCCTGTTTTTCTTTTATTTGCAGTTTCCCGAGACAGAACAAAATAATGATTTTTTTACACTTACAAGGCTCAGAAAGAAAAGACAATGGAACTCAGCAAAAAGAGAGAAGGGGAGGTTGCCGGCCAGCACTGCGGGCAGCCGGCCCTCCACAGAGCGGGCCGGCCGGCGCCACCACACCTTGGACATCTAGCTAGAGGAGCAGGTGTGGCTTGCTCGAGAGGGGTCATGCAAAAGAACTATCCCCCAGAAAAAAATCCCCAAATTACCCGAGACAGGCAGCTCCGTGGAGACAACAGGTGAGGGGACGGGGAGGGGTCCCCCGGAGGGGAGGGTGGCTGGGCCACACGCTGTCCATGGTGAGCCCTGCGGATGTTTACCCTGTGTCCATGGGTGGGGACAGCTGTCCTGAGCACAGCCGTGGACAGGCAGGTGAGTGTCCATTCTGAGTGTCTGCTGATGGACAGTCCCCTTGGAGAACAGCATCCTGCGTCCCGTTCCCCACTCTGTGCCCCTCCCTTGCCTTGATTTGTGGGGGAAGATAAAGAAAATCCTTGTTGAAAATGTGAATTAAATGTGAGGGCAGGTGTTGGGGCAGCAGGGACCCGCACCTCCGTGATCCCACCCCGCAACCACCCCGCTTGGCTGGCTGACCTAGGTGCTCTCTGCTGCCCTCCGACCACGGGGCCGTCCCCGAGCCTCACCATGGTGCCCACCAGCACCCGGGGGACCTCGGGATGGGCCCAGCCTGTCTTCTCCTCATCCCAGGGTCCCGGTAGCCGCGCCCTGCGCCTCAGGCCTGGGGCAGCCCTCCCTCCCTCTGCTCCAGCCTAGACTCCAAGAGCACTGTCAGCAAACCCCGGCCTGGCAGCCCAGGGAGCCACTCACCCGTTTCTGCCCCCTCTCCCCTGCCTGCGTCCTGACCAAGCCCAGAGCCCCTCTGTGGCCGCACCAGCTGGCGGGGGGGTGGGCAGAAGGGAGGCACCCCAACAGGAGGGAGGCCATCCCAAGGGTTCCCCTCCTGCCGGGGCTGCAGCCCAGCCAACAGTGTCCTCTTGGCCAGTCTCCTGCCCGGGTAAGGTCTGTACCTCCCCGGCCCTGGAGGGACCAGAGGGGGAGCCCTGGGCCCACGGGGGCTTCTTGGATGGTGCACCGGGCCCCCCCAGAGTCAGCTGGCCTCCGTGCTGCTCATCCATGCTGGGGGCTTGAGGAGGAGGGAGGGAAACAGCCGCGCTCAGGTCCCCGTGGCCCCAGGTGGCCGACACTCCTGACAGCAGCCATGCACGGCGGGCGGGGGGGGGGGGGGGGATGCAGACGCCTGGGGGGGTGCCACCTAACAAACAGCGTTCCTCGGCCCGGCCCCTGGGGACAAGATCACTGCCCCACCGGTCCCCAAGGGGCCAGGAGCAGACAGACACGTGGAGCATGGGTGGGGAGTGCCCGTCGGTTCAAAGCCCCACAAATGCCAGTGATTTTTACAGCTTTTTCCTTTGTTTTTTTTTTTTTTTCCTCCCGTTTCATCCAACATCAATTTTTTTTGTGGTGTTGTCATCTTGTTGTGAAAAAGAGATCACGTCCGGTCTTTGTTTTCTGCAGACACAGGCACCAGGGGGGAACGAGGCAGAGACACAAACATGCGACGGGCGGGCCGCGGACGGCGGGGCTCCCAACACGAGTCCGTCCCGCCAAGCCGGCCACAGCTCTGAAAGGGAGGGAGGATGGGGGTCAGCTCACACGCACTCCCCAGGGAGATGGGGGCCAGCTCTCACGCACCCTCCAGGGAGATGGGGGTCAGCTCTCACGTGCCCCCAAGAAGATGGGGGAGAGGGACCAGCTCGCACGCCCCCCAGGGAGATGGGAAGGGGACCAGCCGTCATGCCCCCCAGGGAGATGGGAGCCAGCTCTCACATGCCCCCAGGGAGATGGGGGTCCGCTTGTACACACCCCCAGGGAGATGGGGACCAGCTCGCACGCCCCCCAGGAAGATGGGGAGAGGGACCAGCTCACATGCGCTCCCAGGAAGATGGGGGTCAGCTTGCACACACCCCCCAGGGAGATGGGGGTCAGCTCGCAAGAGATGGGGAGGGGGACCAGCTCTCACGCGTCCCAGGGAGGAGGGGGAGGACAGGGTGTGGTGCTGCCTGCGTG